TGTTCGGTGTATCGAAAAAAACAAATTGAATATTATGATATATATACAGCCTAACCACAATTCGGTATGATTTATTATTCCTAGAGCAGCTCCACTGGTAACAACTCTCAAGAGATTCTTACCAATTTTTAAACATTAAACTAAAGATTAAAATAATCTAAGAATCTCACTTAAATTTTGTAAAAAAATTCTCCTCCATTTGGTAAAATCTTTAAGAAGTTCTTAAGAATTAATTTTTTTTTTAATTAACTTGTTCATTCATATCAGCAAAGTTTGTTTCTGCTGTTTTCAAAGAATCATGGCTTAATTGAGAGAGAAAAAGCTTTGTAGTCTTAGCTACAACAGTTTTACATTATTGCTCATAGCAAAAAAGAGTTTTGTTGTCTGCACTTCCTCTTGGTATCGCCTCTCCCACTAGTTTCTTTGAAGATTCCTCTAGATCTTCGACCTCTTTCACACCACTGCAACCGCTTCCTGCAATACCATATAAATCTCAATTATTGAAAATGAAATCAAGCTTTTTACATTTTCTTGTTACCTGCCCACATTGTTGATTAAAGATTAATATGGACATGAAATTATTACAAAATGTAGCTCATTGAACAGGTAAATAACTAATAATCTTCTCTAATTCGGGTCAAGAATCAAAACATTTGGTCGCAAAACTCACAGCCAACTACACATCTCATACCAAAATATACTGAGCTAATCAAAGTAATGTGGAATGGAAGTGCGATTCTGATGAGAAGTTGCAGAAGTAGAGAGGAGATTTTACCTTAGAATCTGTTAATACTATGGTAAGGAAAACCTTCTCGGTACTTCACTTCAGAACCAAAAGCATAGCAAACGAAACGAAAAGAGAAACACCAAAGCTATGATTCTGTTACCTACATAAGACATGAAATAAGCTAAGACCTTAACATGAGCAAACGAAGACTGCACCACATTACTTCAAAGAATATATGGTGATCAAGGATCCAACTTCCGCTGATGACAAAGCAATATGATCAGTTATTGATTCAATCCATACCTCTCCTACTAGATTTAATATGCAAATCACAAATCAATTTAGTTCCAAAGGATCAAAGAACCCAACAAATCTGAAATCAAAATCTTTGATTACTGAAATTGCAAACCTAGATTTTCTAAACCCAGAAACAGCAATCAAAACCCTAATAGAAATCCAAGGAAACGGTGTTGGTCTGAGGATCAGTGAGGTTGGAGAAAGATCGTT